TAAATTCAAGAAATATTGCTTCTGTTATACTATGACTTTGCCTGACCTATTGAAATCCAAATGACAAAAAAATATAACCATTTGATAGATGCATGAGTGTTCCATGATTTTCATGTTTTAACCTTGCCTAAATTCTGTGTAAATGAGGGGCTATACCCAAGAATGTTCCAGTATATCACTGTTGACAGACCTTACAGGAACTCAGAACTTTGGTCTCTGTTGCCATGAACTTTGGCTGTCCAAATGGAGTCCAATTACTCTGAAACCATAGCCTTTTGGAAGCTCTGAATGTCTGCTAAAAATTTCATGTTGAAATTATTTTGAAATTTCTGCTAGGTTGAAAGCTGGGATTTGAATTGCGAACATATTGCACTAATGGAAAAATTCAGCAAGATTCAGGATGATATGCTTAACCCTTAATTAACCAAGTCATGTTCCATCAGTGAATTGGGATTGGAATTTAGTTAAATTCCTCTTCTTAATTTAGGTGCTATGCCTCATTCTATATATGCCCATGATTAATAAGAACAACAATGAATTTTTAAGTTGTACATGAATTATGCACAAATCATCCATCAACGTTTATTTCTGAGCATAGCTTATTCTTTTTACAAGGTGATTGAATGTTCTGTTATAAGACACCGAAATGGTATGCTTATGATCCTACAAATGTTGATCGCTCCTGCCCTTTTGTAAAGAGTAAAGTATGGATGGATGAATGTTATGCATTATTATACGCGGTGCAACTGATATATGTGATTTTGACCACTACGCAATGGGTGAGTAGTGGTCCTCCATTGGTAGTGGATATTTTGATTCTGTTATATGAACTCTAATATATGTGATTTTTGGCCACTACACAATGGGTCCTCCATTGGTAGTGGATATTCTGATTCTGTTATATGAACTCTGATATATGTGATTTCTGGCCACTGCGCAAGGGGTCCTCCATTAATAGTGGACATTTTGATTCTGTTATATAAACTCTGATATATGTGATTTCTGGTCACCACGCAAGGGGTTCTCCATTGGTAGTGGATATTCTGATTCTGTTATATGAACTCTGATATATGTGATTTCTAGCCACTACGCAATGGGTCCTCCATTGGTAGTAGATATTGTGTTGCCGGTAAATTCATATTTTGCCTCGACTCCAATGATAGGAGTGGAGTCGGGAGATAACTGTAAATAATAAGGTGGGTCGCACCCCACAAATTGTTATGGGTACTATGCATTGGGTTCTCCAATGATGGTGTAACACCATCTCGCTTGATGGCACAAGGAGAGAGTCGTGTCTTGCAAGGCCTCAGCCTATCAAAATGAGACTTTCATTTGTCATTGTCCTCCCTCCCGAATGAGGGTAGAAGTTCCAAGTTGTAGGATTGGCTTAGCCTGATCAATGTGACTTCTACTTCGGGAGTAACTATATTTATGTTTCTACCTGTCTGAATTAAGTACTATGTACGATTATTTGACTGTGACTGAGTTAAGCATCAATGTAACTGCCATTTCAAGAAATATCAAATACTTCGACTTCTTAACAATGCTCATTTTATATTGATAGTGTGCATATTCTGATGCATGACTCTACTTTCTGATGCCAGTACGGTCTTTGACAATCCATCGACCATGTTTTGATGTATATGCTGATAGTCAGGAACACAAGAATAGTAACCTACTTACTGGGCTTTAGCTCATACCCCTCTTTTTCCCTTCTTTGTAGAGTGAGAGCCGATAACTCGCGTGTGGACTGCTGGACGATGATAGCAGATCTTTGAAGCCCAAGTGCTGTCCAGGAATATTTTGATTATAGGTGTCTGGTGGCTGTGCCACAATGTACTTTGATGACTATTGTAATGTTGTTGTCAAGCCAGTAGCGCCTTGAACCCTTTTGTAAAAGAATTTTTGGAGACTAAATCTGTATAAAGAAATATATATGCTGCAAGGGCTTACCTGAACCTATACTTTTGTGATAAAGACTCAATTAAGGATGACCCAGAGTCATGGCCTCTATTCATGCTTGGTATGGCTCACACAGCCTATTTTCCACATGATTATGTTGCAATTGACCAGAACTTAAAGGGAGATGGGAGCATTATCATTCGATGAGGTCGTGCAAGCCAAGAATCTGTACACGCCCGATTTCTAACTGTCATTGAGATCAATCAAGAAATGGTTTTTATTCTGCTCTTTTTGTGGCCATTTGTTTATGAACTTATTTTAATTCATGGTTTGCTTTGATTCCAAAATTATAACATGTGTTGATGCCACTCCCACCTGAGTGACGTACGCAACCTCTAGTCATGATCCCATACGTTGTCGCACTCTGGTGAGCCGTAAAGAGGTCATGGGGTGGGGTCATGACAAGAAGTGAGTGTTCCAGAGTCGGATGACCCTCTAATTGATCATTTTGTTCACGGGATGTGAAGGACATAAAGGATAAAAGAAATTCTAAATCTAGAAAATAGTGCATCTTGCAACAAGTTATTTGAATAGTCTATTTCAAGTGTTTATTGATTTATTCTATCTGTACCATTTTTGAAAATTTAAATTTTATAATTAGAGATCAAAATAGATTTTCAAGCCATCATAGGCTTTTCATCATTGAAAGGTTAACTCTAAGGAAATTTTAGAGGTATCCCTTACGTCTATACTATAAAGAGGTGACCCTAAACAAACCTCACCCTATATTTGTAAAAAAGTTTATATAAGGTTGCAACTTTATACTATCGAAGCAAAGTACACTGTAAAAATCCACTAGAAGAGAATGTTCCCATGTTGGAAAACCCTCTAATCAATCATTTTTACCTCGAGACATGTGGAGATGAAGAAAACACAATGAATTTCAAGTCCTAAAGATATTGCACCTCATAAGAAGTTATCTGAACCATCTATTTTCAAGCTTTTCAAATGTTTATAGATATGCTTGATTTGACCATTTCTGAAATTTTAAATTTCATATTGTGATAAAAATAGATTTTAAAGCCATCACAAGATTTCTAACACTTGAACTACATTTTCAAGCAAAATTTTAGAGATGTACCTTACTTATATCGCATAAGGAGGGTGTCTTGCACAAACCTCACTAATGTATGTAGAATTGTTGTATGCAATCACCGCCCATATATATGCATGATTCAAATCACTGTTTTATTATAATATAGTGAAACTATAAAGTTGCAACCTTAAACAATCCAATTAAGGTGCACCTCCAAATTGTATTATAATATACAGTGTTTTAAAATGCAGCCGCATCAGGCGTTATGCGCTGGGCAGCGAATTGAAAATCCCCTCATATGCGGTGTGGAGAGATACGCCTCATCTCTCTGCATCAAAGCCACATCCCGTATCAGGCTGCATAATTTTCCGCTGTCTTTTTTTCTAAAATGTACCCCTCAGGCAAGGGTAATAAGGTCATCTTGTCCTTCAAAAAGGGGGGGAAAGGGTTTGGGGGGATATTAAACCCCCTAAACAACATTTTTTAGCCATATTAGTGGCTTTTATTGGATCGATTGAATCAAAAAAAAATTCGAGCGGAAATTTTATTTGTTGAAGTTCTTTGATTTGTGCATTTATTAATGCTTGATTGTTGATTTGTATATTTTGGGTGTTGATGTTTCTTTGATAGTATTTGAAAAATTGAAATTTAGAATCTTACCCTCAAGACTTGAGAAATGATGATGATTGAATCAAAGGTAAAGCCTATAATTACAAGTCGAAAAGCACAAAAATCCCCTAGTCATCTTCTTTCAAATTAGGGAACGCGTCTGCACTTCAGCACAGCGGGACTATGCCAGGATCTGCGCCCCTGTCGATTTAACTTCCCCAAGCCATATTTAATTGGGCTATTTCGCTAAATTTAATCAACTGCGTTTGTCGTCACTGGTTATAATCAGTTTAATAAAAAAGAGCTAGGGTTTTTCTCCCAAGGAGTTACCACTCTTCATTTCCGGAAGAATTTCCCCAGGTATATCTCCATCACCACGAACTTTCATGGTTCATTTGACCTAGATTTCGATTTTCACTCAAGCTTTTGTTTTTTTTTCTTTTTCTTTTTGGTTGAACTTTGGTCCTTGTTTGTGCTGAAAATTTTGCTGTTTTCTACTTAAATTGGGGGTTGAGTGTATTGTTTATTGTAACTTGGACATAGGGTTTGTATCAATCAGCTTATGGTATGAAATTTGATCCTGGATTTTGTGCATGGTTTTTGATATTTAACCTGGATCGCATGATGTGCTTGTCTTATGCAATTAATTTGTGCTCAACTTTTCTCATATGAGCTGCATTGCTAAAAATGGATGTTATAAAGGTTGGTTTCATATATATATTTTTTGGTCAGTTTTGGGGCTTTTTTTATAGGAAAGGAAAACGTCATTTTTTGGCATTTAATTACCACCTATCCCAGTCGAGGATGCATATGCAGATTTCTGTATTAGTGTTTCATTTGTATATGCTCAGTTGTTTGTAAATATTTTGTCATTTTAGTGGGTTTTGGAAATGGTTACCTAATTTTTTGTATGTTGTGTGAGGCCATATGATTTAGGTTCCTGTGATAGCTATTTTTTTTTGTGGGTTATGTTTTAGTTGAACTACTGTTTTAGGTTCCAGCTTTGACGACGTGATTAGGTTCCTGCCATAACTAAATTTTTTAATTTTTAATTTTTTAGATGCTTGAACTTGCTGATCAATAGTTGCATTCCTAACGTGGTAACTTATGAAATTAATTTTATTTGGGGAGTTCTTCATGAAATTACAAACATAGAGCACTAACTATACCTAATTGCGAAAGTTTTAGTTGAATCCCTTTTTCCTTTTTCAGGAAGATCACGGCTTCCAAGAAGCTGCTTTGGCCAAAGTATTTGGGAAGCTCCTGTTGTCGTCTACACTCATAATAATCCGCTACATATTAGTACTTTAATCGGGGTTTCCACCTCGAAGCAGATCGGTTTTCATATAATTGGCATCTAATACACATTCACCATGCTTGAGCGCAAGTTATTCAAGACAAAGTTATGCATTCTCTTTCAAAGAGGTCATTGTCACAGGCAGAGCTGTTCATTTGCCCATGGGGATACTGAACTTAGGAGGTTTTCCGGTTCAGGCAGTGGTAAGATCATATATCTGTTCTGGTAATCAGTATGTTTTATGGGCTTTCTTTGATTGCCTTGACATGGATATAGCTTGAACCACATTAATTTATTTTTATTGCTTTGAATTGAGTATGTTATGATACCGTCCCAATGCAGTTCTGCAGCGGTTCCTTGCACTATGCAGTCTGAATAATGCAATCATTTAAGAAAAGAAGGCAATGGTGGATTGTATTATTATGGTCTAATTGTTTAAAAATATTGAGACTAAACTGGTTTCTGTGATGGAAAATGATGCAGTCTTATATGGAATCAAAGGTGCCCTCCGTGATATTTGCATTGGAAATTGATATATGTGTTAGAAACATAAGGTTGGGTGTAATCTATTTATTCTGAAGCTAGCCTTCTTGTGATAAGGAAGATTCCTAAGGAGAGTGAGAAACTCTGCTGTGTTCTTCATAAAAAATTGGTTCTCTCATTACGTGGTTTTGGCATGGGCCGATTCAGAAGTTGTATTTTTTGTGGAAGATGTATTTGCAATGGCTGAATCTATGAACAAATTGCAGTGCGTTGCTTGTTTTAATTTATTTGATTTTAATACTGAGAGAGAAATCTGAAACTATTGCATACCTAAGAAAATTTCCATCTGCAATGACATCTGGACTTTGACTTAATCAAAATGCTTGGGAGCCGTGGGCTATACCGTTTCAATTAAAATTTCCTTGCCAATTTGCGGTCAATTTTTTAATTTTCTGCTGTAGCCAATAGATATGTCCATCTATTTTTCACCCAGTTCAATGATGACTGCTGTTTGAGTTGTTAATTTATTATGATTGATCATCTTCAATATTGGCAGCTTTAAGTCCCAAATGGTTTTCATGTGCAGTAAGTCAGTAACAAGGACTTAATGATCTATTGGTTCGTTGGTCGGTCTGAATTGTTTCAGCCAAAGCCTGATCTGATTATTAGGACTTCCTTTCAATTTATGGTTGATGATTTCATTTGCTCTGGATTTCCTTCCTTTTTTAATGTCTTGTTAGTTGTTATCAACTAATATGATGCAGCAGTTGCCGTACTTATGGATAACACATTTTGTTCTTAATCATAAAAAAGAAGAGAAGTAGACCATTCCCTTCTCTTCTTGTCTGTAGTCACCTTGCAGAGCCAGTGTGGTTGGTCTAATTGGCTGATGATTGAAAACATATTGATTGTGGATGCTAGTTTGTTGTTTGTTGTTGGATATCCTTGTTCTGCGTTTGTATTTGGTGAGTACTAACTTATATTTCTTGAATCTTTCACTTCAGTAGTAAAACTAAAGCTGGGGTATTGCCAGAGGATGGAATGTTAAATGTATTGTCATTTTCTTGAAGATGCTGGAATTATGATTGGGTCAAAGCTATTGGAAACATCACTGGTCTTATTTATCTCAGATTGTTATTGGACATATTATTTTGATTTTCCTTGATGATGGTTAGCTGTTGTCATGGGCCAAGACATGGATATACGAGTTGATTCCATGATTATAAGTTCATAACCCCACTAATGCTGCCTTATGGCCAGGGTTGAACTTGCATTTGTATCAGGTTGTCTGGATCTTCTTTGTGCAGCTATTTGGTATTTTAAGTACTAGATTACTTATTCTTTACTTTAATGACATTATTATGCTGATGGTTTATTGAGCTTTGGGAGGTAGTATCTACTATGGAGAACTGAGGTCTTAGTAACTAAACTATAATGTCCCTATGCTCTCCTCAGGGTTTCTGCTATGTGATTTTCATTTATAGGAATCTTTGATGAATATCAACGTGTTTATCTTGAAATTTTTTTTTATTGGTTTTATGGAGGGCAACATGGTTCTCACATCATTACAAAGTCCTTTGCAACTTAATTATGATGAAGGTTTCCATGGGTTGAGAACTTCTGCAGATTATTCTGGCAAGACAGTCTGGTCTCATGATGGAAGGTGCATCTATATGTTGTTTATTGGTTCAGGATATTTTTCTTATTGCTCAAGAAGGCAGCTGTACAGTCCATCATCTATTATTCACTTCTTTGATATTCAAAGGATTTCCTCTCCTGTATTAGCTCATATGCTGGTATAGCCACTGTCTTGATTTTAGAAGGCATATTAACTTGCATGGCCTTTTTTGGAATTCGCAAGCAGGCGATATTGCTATCCATTATTAGCTTTTCATATTGTTCATTGTTATGGTAAGGTTAGTCTTTGACATTGTTCATGGTTTTTTGACTTGCTAGTTAATTATGTAGAGCACCTTTTTTAGTTCCTAACACTGGATCTTGTTTTCAGGTAGGTGGGATTATCGTGGTAGCGACCTGAGGGATAAACTTGACCGAAGGCACTCTCCATATCGAAGGCTTTCACCTGGCAGAGACAGAAGAGGTCGGCATGCATTTCATGGTCAGAGACTAGTTCCATATGACAGGGGTAAGGGTTCTTAGGATTACTGCGTCCATGTCCTTGAATGGGTTGCTCAGTCCAACTGGACAGAATTGGCTACTGTGAAGAATTCATTTTCCTTTCCATGCAGAACTTCTTGCTTGAGATTAGAGTCGACTTTCATTTCTTCATCCACTGTTTTACTTATCCCTGATTCCTGCATTATGTTGTTTTTTTGTTTTTTCCCTTTCTTTATCAAAATCTTCCGTATTGTTAAGTGGAAATTTATTGTGTAGGGTATGGCACTTCAAGGTCGCCAGAGAAAGAGAGGTATCCCTATCTCAAAGTCTTATGGTATCTCTTTTTTGTATTTATTTGGTGCCATTTCTAAATTTCTCCTTACCAGTTGATCAATTGCTCTGTTTAAGTCTGTTGAACGTGAAATTTGCTGTTCTTAATTGTTTCAGCATCTGTATTTGTTGCCAATCGATAATTGTCTTGCCATCTTAAGTGACTCCTACTCTCTCACTATTACCCTGTTCAGCTTGTCGGTTTCTACTTGCGACATATGGTTTGTGTAGTTTATTGTATTTTGTGTAGTTTATTGTATGAATGGTGATATGAAACTATGGGTTTTCTATATAGATGTTCTTGTTTTATCATAACTAATTTAGTTTGTCACACATTACTTTTGTGAAAGTCTATGTGATCGTGATAGATAGTTGCTTGCATGCTTATGTTTATCAAGCTTTTCAAGGACTTCTATGCATAAGGTTCATTTCATTTAATTTTTTTATCTATCATCCCCTAGGATGGATGCAGTTTTAACAGTTCACCTGATTCAATTGCCCTTTCTATAGTGGGGAAAACGGCTATGAATTACCAAACTAGAGCTTCTTTATGTTTGTAAGGCTATTGGAGTGTCCTCCATTTGCTTTCCCTTGTCATAGTTCATACTTCCACCGTCGTTCTCTTTGTATTTTGGTTAATAAAGCATGTAGTTATATAGGCTTTTCTTGTCTTTTATCACATTAGATGAGTTACATCCAGCTCAAGTTTAATCTTCTTTATGAAGTTAATTGATCTCAGCTGTAATTTGTGTCATTCCTACTTCTAGAGGTATCCTTGTTTATCAATTCATATGGCCTCTTTGTCAATTTATTTTTATGAGGCATACAAAATATTGCACGAAATGAGTATGATGTCTGGTCTGTGCTTTTGATGATACAGAAAAGGTAATTGTTGTAACATTAGGGCCGAATCTTCGAGTGAATGGATGCTTGTTTTCCATTTCCGATATGAAATTCACTTTGGGACACCCATTTTGGAAAGAAAACCATGAAGATCTATGCTTCATCTTGACTATTTTTAGTTGGCTTCGGTCCATCAAGTCAAAGAAAATCATGTGGTGAGTTGTGATACACTTGTTCATTTTGGTGTGCTTCTCCAATGGCTGCTACTCATTGTAATTTTATTCATCATCTTTAGTATACGCTTGCTCATTGATATATGAGCATACTGACAGATTGATTAATTCATTTAGTAGTTGTTTCTACGGGGCAGTCTTACTTTTTTTCATAGTTCATTATGATGTCAAACAGTTATTGAGAAACTGTGATTAAAAATTAGTTGCATTGAAGGCTCCCTAAATCTATTTTGGTGGTCCCTTACTCGTGTCATTTGCATGAAATATCCGAATCAGAAGCAAATTTATGCGCCTGAAGACAAAGAAGACATGTGTCCATCATAATAGATATTACTTGTATAATTCCAGGCTGTGAACTTTGTTTGGCCATAGTGGAAGGGGTTTTTGATAGGTGTAAACGAGTTCGAAATGTCAATCTGTAACATCACTCGAGGTTTTCGAATGCAGATACGTATAAAATTCTAAGTGTCTATTTTATGTCACTTGGGTCCATTGAATATGCAAACCAAAGACAAATTTGGTATATTGCCTGAGTGGTCAATGGTATATGGCGTACAAATTGATGGTATTCTTGTGATATATCTGGTTAGGAATGGATTCATTTAAGTGGTTGATCCTGGTGCATCAATTGCCCCAGTTAATTACACGGTAAACCATCCTAGATCAGTAGCATTGGATCAGGAAATGTGGCCATTGAACTATAATTCTTGCTAAGAAGAATGCCCATGTTGTGGCAATTCCACCCAGAAGGTAATGGGTTACTCCTGCAGCACATCCTTGGACAATGCTCAAGGCTCTAGGCTGAGTAGCAGGAGCAACTTTCAATTTGTTATGAGCACAAAGGATGAACTGGTCGTGGCATTAGCGCTTTTATTTGCGAATCCCTTTGTTTAATCCTAAAAATACATAAGATATCTATTACCCTACCCTTGCCACTTCTTCGAAGTATATCAACACTTCACTCCTACAATAAATTATCCATTTTGAGACAATACACCATCCCCCCCCCCCCGGGGTAAGGACTGATTCGAGGAATTAGCAGATCTGCCCATTCTCTTCCTGTCAAAATTTTTATTAACAACATAATATAAAAATGCAATAACTTAAGAAGATGCCAAGAGGGTGAATCTTTCTCATTAAGGAATTTCATACCGGGCTTCATATTGAAATTAAAGATTTGATGTTTAATAACAGGTTGAAACTACACTTGGAGTCCACATTGATGATGCTTTGAAACTTATCCAGAATACTTTGTATTTCAAAAAGCTGAAGAATATGACCTATTTGGACTGATTAAAATGGTGGTTGATTCACTGAGTATTTGGGGAACTGATTTTGGAGAACGCCCTAGTTGATAAAACGGGATGATCTTTGTGGGCTTTCTTAGAGTTGACTTCCATTATTGGATCTTTGAACAAAAGGAGGTTTTCAACTTGCAATATAGGTTCGCATCCAGCCATAGTATTTGATAAAGCCATTCTCATCTTTTCTTGACATGGAACTTAAGTTCTTGACAAACACAAAATAAAACGGTCCTTCAGCCATTGTTTGTACAATTGAACTGTAGATGTTTTAAACTTCCATTGAGAAATACTTAAAATCCCTTGTTCGCTATTATATGAAAATTTATTAAAAAAAAAATCAGTGTTAATTTTTTGGAGGAAAACTATTGTCTAAGAAAAGGTGTAAGTTCTCTGTGGGTATATAGTATATGTTAAGGGTATCGACTGGCTATCCACCGTAGTTGACTCCAAAAGAGAAAATAAGGAACCTAGTAACTTTTTGGGCCTTTAATCACACTCTTTTCAAATTCTCTTTCTCCAACGACTTCCATATCAATTGGTCCAACTGATTACTCTATCAAACCTCAGAACCTCTAGGGCCTCGTGGTGGAAACCACTTGAAATGCGAGTGGTGAAACTTTACTTTGATGGCTGCTCTCTGGGTAACCCTGGTCCCTCAGGTATTAGGGGGCTCTATCACTCTTGTGATGGGAGCACCTTGCTGCCCTTTTTGCTACCTATCGGCTTTGCGGACTCCACTCTTGTTGAGGCCCTTGGCCCTTCTGGAAGGCCTTCGCAAGTTAGACCACACCTGGAATCACAACATCGCGGTGGAAGGGGATGCCAAAAACATTATTCGTCGGGCATCCAACTGCTATCTTGGTCTTGGCCTTGGCATCTCGACAACATTTTTGACGAGATCATGTATTTATCGAGCAACTATAAGATCTCCCGGCGCCAGGCTTTCAAAGAGGCAAATTCGGAAATTTACAGTTTGGCCAAAGAAGGGGCACTCCTTATTTCTTCCTCTTAGGCCCTTTTTGTTCTCTGCTAGCAGTGGGTTTTGCCCTTTTCGTCCCACTCATGCTTTTGTATAGCGTGACCAATTCGGTCACCACCTTTTGTAAATTTTACTATTATGAAATACAATTATAGTGAACTTCTTAAAAAAAAAAAAAAAAAAAAGGGCTGGCTATTCACCATATGAACTTATCAATGGATGGTGGACATCAGCTCTTTTTTTCCAATAGACAAGGATGGACTTGAAAGTGGACAGCAGTTCAACTTGAATCTGTTGATGATATGGACAGTGGAAGGCCATTATGTGCACTCAAACTATGTTGCCGACTTGGGGATAAAATTAGCTTTCGAATGTTTAGGATGGTAGTGATGGATTTGATAAAGATGACTGAGTGTGCCCAATATTGCCGGCTTGTGAGTGTAAGACATGTTAAGACCTCTGGAAGAGATGGTTTGCCATCAAATATATGGTTCTTTACAATGTTTGAAAACTTGTCTGAGTCAACTTGGAATTAGGCGCGTTACTTCGGCTCGGCACGCTGCTGATCCTGGAACATGGTACATATATGTACCTTTTACGGTTCTCAAGTGAGCAATATATTATAGACTCATGTGGTTACTATACAAACTTGGGATGACTTGCCTGAGTTGTACAGTACTTGGGTGAGTCACTACAATACTCAGACGTGTCCCTACAATACTTGATTGATTACAAGTCTCAATTTGAAAGGGGCCTGGAAATATGCTTCTCTTGTTTTCTCTGCTTTCTTCAATTTAAGCTCTAGTTTTAGCAATATGAGCTGAATTTGAGTCCTTAGATTTTAGCCTGATTGATCTATTAGGCAACATTAGATTTGAGGAAAACAATAGATTTTGATGGATTTTTGAGATCGAAAAATTCTGCAAGTTTTTGTAATATTGCAATTTCTTAACGATTGATGGTCAATCTTCGATGGGATTTAATTATGGAGCCTATTTTTGTATTCTTGATCCAATCGTAGGCTTGAATTTAACAAAAAGAAAAACACTTAGGATTTTGAGAGATTTTATATTTGGATTTATTATTCATCCAAATTCTTTTAGAATGCTTGAAATTCCGAGATCCGAACTCGAAACTCTAGACTGGTTTGGCGGTATTGATTGGGGTTGTGTGAGGAAGCTTTGCCAAGGATTTGAGGCATCAATTCGCATTGAGCGTGAAGTTTGAGGGAATTGTCTATGCAAATTTAAATAATAAAAAAAGAAGTTGATTCGAAATTGGAAGCTAACAAACATAGATTCAATGCCTCTTGGAATTCAATAGAATTCCTAAGAATAATGTTTTTGAAAACACAATAATCAACTTTGAATGAGTAACCTATTGACTTTATTTGGACTCCCAAATTCTTATCCTAAATATAGTTAGGACTCCCAACTAAAATTGTACCAAAATTGACACCTTTTCCCTTTGATAGAATACGATAAACTTGTCCTAAAAGATAACCCTGAAATGATCCCCCCCCAACTTCGCATAGGCGTAACCTTTTGCTTTGTGGTCGAAATCGTTATTATGATCCCATTTCAAAAACGATTGCATAAGCCCCGTAAGCTGAAACCTATGTCGTCGGTTTTTTAAGAAATTGAGGCCCAAAAATGCTTCTAAAGCCTTGAACATCAAACCTGAAATTTGCTGCGTGAAGTCGGCTTGCACAGTCTCCCCCGATTAGAGAGATCACGCATTTTAGTTCTGATCATCAATGAACTTCTGTAATGCTTTGCGTCAATCTTCCCTAGCTTCTTCTCCGAAATCTTCAAATTGTTTTATTTAGGCTTACCTTTCCATTAGATTAATTACCGACTGTAGGAACGTGTACCCCTTTGGAAGCTTGACTATATATGCGTTATTGACAATCTCTTGATGAGCACAACATAATCCAATTTTCTTGTACTTGAGCTTATGATATGCCCCACATGGAAAGCTCTCTATCCTAAGATACATCATCACCAAATCACTTCATTGAACTCCTAGCGTTGATATTGGTCAGCATTATTCTTGTACTTGTCATAGCTCGCTTAAAGCTTTTTCTGCACCTGTCAATGAAACCTTGTGAAGATGTGTGGTTAATTCAACGCCCCCACTAGCTTGCTCGCCCTTTGGCAGATGCACCAAATTTAGTACCTTGTTTGGCTACTGTCTGTATGCTACCTCAAAAGGTGACCTTCCTGTGTACCAATTGACTATGTTATTATAGGCAAATTCTCCTTGTGGCAAAATCTTATCGCACTATAAAAGCTTATCTCCCATGTGGCCTCGCAATGGATTTCGTAGACTTCTACTAATAATCTTGGTGTGACTAACAATATGAGGGTGTTATGTGTTACTGTATTGAAGCCGAGTACCTAATTTCTTCTAGGGTTCATCAAAAGTGAGTCATTGGCCTCATATCTCTATTAGAAGTAATGGTTTTAGAGACGACATGAGGTCAAACCATTTCCTTTTAAGACACTGCATGTGTGGCATCTAGAGTGTTCTTATAAGGAATAAAATGTGCCATCTTTCAAAAGTGATCTACGATGGCAAATATAGAATCCCATTCTCTAGTAGTGCGGGGAAGAACCCTACAAAATCCATAACCTTACAAAATCGATACTCATTAGTCCAAGGGCTAGCAGGAATAGGAAGAGGGTTGAACAACCCTA